AGAAAACACTCACGTATGCCTGGAATACTCTCCACGGGGATCTGTCGGACTCCCTCTTTGAAGCAGGTGAGTCCTGGATAAACCTTCCTGATCTGACTCTGCTTCCTCTCAATCAGCTTCTTTATAATCTGCGAGGACATTTTCAGATTTATGTAACATTAAAAATACATGAGACTCACAGCAAAAAGAGAGAAAAAAAAGTACAGGTTTAATGAGAACATGTGGGAGCTTCTCGTACCTCCTTCTGTCTCTTAATGATGTGCGACAGCTCGGTGTAGGGGATCCTCGGGTTCAGCTCGCACTCCATCAGCGTCGCTCCCTCGTAGTCTTTGATGTATCCCAGGTATCGACTCTTCGGCACTTTGATGTCTTTGGAAAAGCCCTGTGAGGAGGAGGAAGGAAAAAAAAAAAAAAAAGAAATTACTCGGAGGACATGAAGGAGGCCGAGGACGGAGGAGAAGCTAATGCGAAGGTCTCACCTGCTTTTTGAAGTAGCCGATGGCGTACTCGTCGGCGTACGTGAGGAAATAGAGGATGTTGTGTTTGATGTGGTACTCCTTCAGGTGGTTCATCAGGTGGGTACCGTAGCCCTGGAACAGGAAACCAGAGAGAAGGCTGAGTGAGAAACAGGTTTTCATGTATGGAACAGAAATCTGGTGCTCCCAAGTATTAATGATTTATACGTTAAAGCAGGATGAACCAACATTTTAACGCTGAAAATTAAGGAAATCCAAATCAGGGCTGCACAACGTTTGACAGGGAGATGCTTAGTTTTTCTACAATATGAAAACTCGAACTGGACAGACTTGAACCACTGCTTTAGTGATGAATTAATCATGTTGGAAAGATTGGAGGTTTGTTGTAGAAGATTGAATCTGCATCCAAAATGACTTTAATCAGTCACTGCAGCAGCCGTGAGACCAAAAATTAGTTAGAAATGAATCAAATAAGGCGTTCTAATGCCAGATTTACATCATTTGACTTTATTTTTTACATTTTATAATTGTTTTTGGAGTATTTTTAGAGAATCTTTTTGTCATTTTAGACGAGTTTCAGGACATCTTACACATCTGTTGAATTGTTTAGGACAGTTTTGCACTACTTTTGACACATTTTGGGCTGTTTTGAAAGAGTTTTTGGACAGTTTTTGAATCGTTTTGGACAATGGGAATCATTTTGGGTAAGATTCAATTCACTTTGCGTAATCGGAGACATTTTGGGACTCGGTGATAAGATTTAAAATGTTGTGTTCTGATGTCAGATTACCTTCAAACAGGTGATTTTACCTACATGGGCTGCTTTCTATTAAAAACACTACATATCAACATCATTTTCCACTTTCACAGAGTACATTTTCTTAGCCAACATCAGCCCTAAACTTAAGTACTAGTTATTGGTTAATTTATAGGATTTTAACCCTTTAAATGCTGCTTTGTTTACATGATGCCACTCGTCTTACATTAAAAATAAAAGACTTATTTTCAAGAGGATTTGTTTCTTTGATGATCACAGCGATTCTAATGCACTTTGGTTTTTTGTAGTGTCAGATATTTAATTTAAACAAAAAAAAGCGATAAAAATGTTAGATTTTGTAACTTTTCTTTTTAATCAACATCAAAACTATCAATTCTGATGAATGTTTCACGAGTTCAACCAGTTGTTTGTCAGTCTGTTTACACTTTGCCTTTGTTGTGTTTTTTTTTTTAATGAAAAGCATAAAAATGAATTATTCTCCATACGTTGAATGTGCACAAACTTTGTTTTGTAATTAAATTTCAAAAAAAATCTAAGTGATCAAACATTTTACATTAATTTTATTTTCATTTAAAGCAGCACAAAGCAATAAAAACGATTGCACAAACTGCAGTTTCAAATACTGAAACTTTACACTGTGCAGCCCTGAAGATTAAACTGAAAATAAAGCACTCATTGTCTTAAATAAATGAAAGGATAAGGATGGTGCGACTTGATGATTTACCTTAACTTGCTCATTGGATGTGACGGCGCAGAAGACGATCTCCGTGAAGCCCTGAGTGGGAAACATCCTAAAACAGATGCCTCCAATGACGCGGCCATCTTTGATAAGGGCGAGGGTTTTGTGCTTGCTGTGGAAATAAAAAAACATGTCAAGGAGAGTTTGCAGGACAGGAATGAAATGGTGAGAATACAGGAACGTCTGCTCACGGGTCAAACACCAGTCGTGTGATGTACTCTTTGGGCATGCGAGGTAACTGATGGGAGAAGACGTTCTGCAGGCCCACCAGCCACATCAGGATCTTCTTGTTGGACTTCTGGGACAGCGAGTTTCCGATGACGTGGAACTCGATGATGCCTCGTCTCTCCTCCAGCCGGGCGGTCTCGTCACGGGCGGCGTTTGGCGTCAGCAGATTCGTCTGGTGGTAGAAATAGACGTTTAAATCTAGAGACAAAACTTAAACTAATGACCAAAGCCATTTTCACATGTGGAATATGAGTGACTTTTAAGTCTTTGTAGGTTCATCACACACAATAAAATGAACGAGAGCAGCCAGGTTACACAGAGCAGCTGTCTGACTTGGTCTAGGACTAATGTTCACTCATTTTTCTTGTTATTTAAAATATCACATATTGTTTTGTTGCACATCATTTGCACTACACTTCACACAGGACTTCTCTACTTACACATATTACACTTACTGTCCATTTTGCATTCTGTATTTACTTACTGTTTATTTATCAGTACCTATGTTGGTGGTAACTTTATTCTTTGTGCTGTAACAACCAAATGGGGATTAATAAAGTATTTCTATTCTAATAACTCCATGTAGTCAGACCTGACCACATGGTTTCACTGACCTCAGGTCCGAGCATGGCAGCAGGGTCAGTGATGGTCATCATGACTTCGTTGACCAGCTCCATCGGTATGTCTCCCATCACCCGGATCCGCTTGGCGTCCTCCAGCGTCAACGCCTCGGGGAGTTTGCGCTTTTCACCTGAATACAACCAAAGAAATCCAACTTTAGTTTTTTCTTTTAAAATGATCTAATTCAACTGCACAGAAGACATTTCTCAGTTCTTGCTGCTTCTTCATGGTTGTGCTGTTTCCATAGAGGTGCTGGACTTGATATTGACAGTGAAAAATGAGCCCACAGGAACTAAACATGCAACAGGAGACAAATAAAATGGCCAGAAACTGCTTGGAGCTCTTGAAGGGTTTACTGCAGGAAGTACATGAAGCTGCACTGCACCTCAGCAGAGTATAAATGAGATGTGAAACAATACCTGTGATGGGCTCCACACCTCCAGCGTCGATGCTGCCCAGAGAGGAGCTGCTGCTCAGACACTTGGACAGAGCAGGAGAACCGGAAACGGAGGCAGGACTGATCACTGCATGAACAGAAACAAAAGGTAGACTTCATTACAGACGATACGACGGGAACAGCGACAAGAGACAAATAGCTGCAGAGTTTCCACAGATTTTTCTAACATATCATTTTTCTGTGAAATAATGGCAAATATCTGTAGAATAAAATGTTTTTTTTCTGTATACAGTCAAGATTGTGCAATTTTACATTCAAAAGCTGTAAAAGAACAAATTAAAATACATATTTTTGATGTGAAAATTATTTTCATTATTTTTGTTTGTTTTTTTAAGACAACATTTGACTAATTAATTGTAATAAAAAAAAAACAGGGAAAATCTGTAAAATAGAAAATATAAAANTTATCTACTTGTATCATTTAAACATTTGCTCAGAATAAACCCTGCGTGCTCACCATATAATGTAAAAGCTAAACATTCTGTGCACCATGACACAACCACGAAACAATGGCTGACTCAGCTTCTACCAACAGTCACATGACAAATATTTGGGCACTTCTTGGCTGTAAATAGTAAAATATGAATAACGGTTACGGTTATGATTTTTTCCAGTATGTAAAAAATGTTGTCCATGTTGACTGCAGGTTTTGTCATTTTTGGTCAAATAAATAGTCAAAGAAATTCAATGTTTTTTCTTCACTAACTGTGCCATTACTGCACAGTAGACATTTCTGACTTCTCTCTCCTTCTTCATGGTTGTTCTGTTTCCATAGAGGTGCAGGACTTTATACTGGAGTAGAACATGAGACCACAGTGGGGACAAAAAGGGAAACCAGAGAGTAAAAGTGACCAGAAACTGCTTGAGGGACAAAAATCAGCCACAACTGTTGTTGCTTTTGCTGATTAAAACCACCTTACCCCTTCAGAACTGACTGAAAATATAAAATACATCTACCTAACTATCAAGAAAGTCTGTCAGGAAAAGAAAACGAGCTATCAAATGTATATGAAGTCGCTTGTAAACTGAGGCTAAGCTGCATTAATGAGCCACCAGTCACATGACAGAGGAAGCTCACACTGTGCATACTTTAAAGCTTTGTAATCTTTGACCAGGCATGCAGCTGACCGCAAGTTCAGTCGAATATTAAAAACGCTGACTGGTTTTTAATTTTTTCGTCAGCGTAAGCACTGAGCATCCTGTCCCGACATCCTACTGCCACATTACTCACGAGCAACCAGATACGTGAAGCTTGGAAAAACTCACAGCGGAGAGGAAACGAACAGAAAAGAAGAGGAAAGACGTTACTGTCGTCACAGCAGTGATTACACAACACAGTTCACCTTGTAATTTACTGCAGAGAGATTTAAAATCCTAGCGAATCTTAACAAGAAGATCTGCTGGTTAGAAACGCACATTACAAGTGAAAAATAAGAAAACAACAGACAAGTGTTGGCTGTAATGGCTTCCAGGTTTGCATCGGATCAAACTGCAAAATGAAAAGAATAAAACTGTGAGTCGGCTCGATGGAGAGCTGCAGGAAACACAAGATTTCTGCAGTTTTAGTGAGAACTGCACAATATATTGTTTAAGCATTGATACTGCAAATTGCAAATNAAAAACAGGCCAAAACTGTAAATAAGTTCCACGTCAACAATCTGTAATTTCAAAAATGGTAATTTCTACTTTTACAGTGTTGACTGTCAGGTTTTACAATGTGAATCAATCCTTTGTTAATTCAGACAGAATTTTCAACCTGATGCTGTCTGCAAGAGAACTGTGACTTAGGAGAAGATTTGTTTTCCAGAAAGACAATGAGCTGAAGCTCAGCCAGAGCTACAGAAATGGATTAAAGACAACAAGGTGAATGTTTTAGAGATGCCGAACCGGAGCCCAGACCTCAATCCAACTGAGTATTTGTCTGGACTTGACAAGGGCACTTGTCACTCGTGATTCCTGTGTAACCTGCCAGAAGTTGAACAGTTTCACAAAGACGAATGAGGTAAAACTGCAGCATCCAGATGTTCAGACTGATTGAGACCAACACAGGATCAACGCTGTAACTGCAGCCAAAGGGTGCATCTACTAAATACTGACTTACATAGTCACTCATTTTACATTTTTAGAATTTGACATTACCATTTGACTGTTTCCACTTTAACATTAAAGCATCTTTCACTGTAAATTCTTGTCAAAAACTGCCAAATCAAATTGATCTCAAAAGGGGGAAACCTTCCAAAGTCTTCGTGTTTGATGTTTGTTCTATAACGTGTCTGTATTTGTTTTTAGGACACCCTTGAGTCAGGGCTGTCCCTTCAATAAACTTCAATTTCAAAAATACCAAGATATGGTAAAATGATTGAACAGGCGTACAATATAAGGTTACCTTCCCCTTGTTTATTCGTAAAATTACATTTTTTCCTTCTCTACCCACGATCCCACCCTCCCTGTTATCCCGCCCACCAAACAGCAGAGACTGCTGTGCAGGTTCTGTTGTGCTAGTTGTTGATGCCATAACAGGATGACAACGCCGCTGAAAGAAAATCCCTCCCTGATATGACGAGTAAAAATAAAAGAGAGAACAAAAAAAAAAAAAGAAAGGAAAAAAAGAAGCTGAGGAGAACATCTCAATTCACAAAGATGATGAGACAGAACCAGTGTATTTAATACCATAAATCTCCAGAGAAAAAAAAATTAAGACATATAAAAGAAAAGAAAAGAAAAAAAAAAACTAAACATCACAACAGAATTAAGGTCGACAGAACATCATGTGGAGATTTGGGAAGTTTTGACAAGAACTACTGATTGATTATAAACTTGAAAAGTCTGTTACAAATACAGCAACATGTTTTCGATACACAGTTGTGATTTTGGTCGAGAAAACAGATCTTGCTTTTTAACGTATTTGCCATTTTTACACTGATGATTCATTACATTAATGCTAAAAATTACATATGGGTGACGATGTTAATAAAGTACTATTTACTGTATATGGTTTTGATAACATACTGTAAGACGGATGATTGTAAAACCTCAAAGTGCAGGCTTTAAAATCATACTGACCAGCCCGTGTCAAAAGAAATAATGATAGTGATAACAATAATGATGTAATAATTCAATCTACACAGCTCTATCAAGAAGGAAACATCTGTCCATTCCTGCTCTCCTGGTGGAAACCTTCCCTCTTCTTCTTCTTCTTTGCCAGGAACAAGACAGAAAGTGAAGCATGCACCTGGACTTAACTTGATGGTAAGAAATTTTCGGTGCATTGGAAAGCGAGAAGAGAAAGGACAGAGCCGCTGAGCCTGTTTATATTCCTTCTTGTTGCATTAATCTTTTTTTTTTTTTTTCTTTTTTTCCTCTACACAAATACAGACACACAAGTGAGCAAGACGGCCCTATTTTTAAGTGCCATTGGTAATGACTGATCTTTTATTTTTTTCCTTCTTCCCCCTAAGGTGACGTCAAGTGTCCATCATCAATAGGCTGGCGAGTCCTGGGGTTAAAACATGATTCTGCCAATGTGTTGATTTCTTGGTTCCGATCCGTCTGGCGGTTTACTGGCCAGTGGACTCGTTTGCCAAACAGTTAATTGGTGCTCGTAGGGTGGGTTTGTTGGTCCGACCGGTGGGACTTCGTTTGACAGCTGGCTGATATCTGGTCTGGTTGATCGGAGCTGTGGATTGGATCAGCTGATTGGTTCTAGTTCCCGCCCCCGCAGCACTGGCCGCTCCTGCCCTGCGGCGCCGCCTCCTGCAGGTCCACGCCGCCTCGGGCCCGGCCGCCGGCGCCAGCTGCTCCCTGAGGCTCGTTCTTCGGAAGCTTCTTGGCTGTTGTTGGGGGGAGTAAATGTGCAAAGAATTCATTTCTGCCTGATGGCAACAAGACAAGAGGGGCTGCAAACAGGAAGAAACTGAGGAAAAATGTTTTGAAAACAACCCAAAAGATATTAAATTTACTAGAACGTAGAACAAAATCTGAATGTGGAGCTGGGGATGGAAACTTTAAACAACTTCCTGCACTGATATTTGGACATGTTGATAATTACTGAAGGTTGGGAAATGAAAAATTCTCTCCATAACAGAAAGTTTGACTTTCACTTCTGACAGAGGATTACTTTGTCCTGAAATAATTGCATTTATGTACAATTTCAAGGGGTTTTTTCATGCCATAAAAAGTGAAACATTCTCTGACTATAGCTTTTGGAAATCCTCACATCTTCAGTTCAGTCCAATGTTTTGATGGACTGATAACTGGGTAAAATAAGGAACCTTTTAGACATTAATCAACAATATAGTAGATAATTTACATTCTGTTTTTCTCATCAATTAATTAGCTAATTGTTGTTGCTCCTGAGTAGTGCTCAAACAATTAATTAGTTGAATTGATCAACAAAAAAAAAGCCCAAATTCTCTGATTGCGGCTTCTTAAATGTCAATATTTCATCTTTTTTTTCCCGCAGTTCGTGACTGTAACCTTTTTGAGTTGTTGACAAAACAAAACAAACACTGATCAACATTTTTCTTACATTTTAAAACCCAAACAACCCACTGACCCAGCAAGAAAACAGTCGACAGATTAATTAACAATAGAAATAATGGTTGTTTGTGGAAAAACTCACCTATAGCCATAAAAATCTCGTTGACATTCATCGCGGTCTTGGCTGAGGTTTCCATGAAGAGCAAACTGTTGTCGTCTGCATATGCTTGTGCTTCCTGAGGACAAACATTTACACATACAAGCATTGTGTCAGCGCAGAACTTAACTGAAGAACTGCAAGTTTCAACAACAGACTGTAAACGTTCCTGTTTACCTGGAAATCTACAGCTCTCTTGTTGGCCAGGTCTGCTTTGTTCCCTGCCAGTGCAATGACAATATTGGGGCTGGCTTGTCGCTGCAGCTCCTTCACCCAGTTCTTTGCACGTGTGAATGTGTCCTTTAAAAGTAAAAAAAAATAAAAAATCCATGATCACAAGACTTTTAAATCACTGGTGCAAGTTTTTAATGTCACATCTGACTGTAAAAAAAAAAAAAACAAGAGCAAAGGTCTGTAGATGTCTGATGGAGTAAGCAATCATAAACCCGGCTGGAAGACAAGGTTCAGACGGCAGATGACATAAGACTTCATGTAACGTACTGTGTTGGTGATATCATAAACCACGATGGCAGCCTGAGCTCCTCTGTAATACATCGGCGCCAAGCTGTGATACCGTTCTTGTCCCGCAGTGTCCCAGATCTCAAACTTGACTGTTGTGTCATCCAGACATACTGTCTGTGTGAGGAAGGCGGCTGAAAATAAACAAAATCAACACAAGTTAGAGTG